GTTTTTGAAAATTTGAATTATTTTCGGAGATATAGGTATTTTACTGACTCGGTCTCCATACTGGTTTGGCTTCACGCGAAACTTTAAATGCGTTTTTCTCATAACAGACTTTTTCAGTACTGTTGACACGATTTCTCGAGTTTTAATCGACCGATTCACTTGAAATGTTCAGAGAGTCTTGTTTATAGACCTATCTATAGCCCTAACTAGAATTATCTCCAAATTCCAATTTTTACTATTTTTAAAAAAATCGAGAAACCCAGAAACACAGTAAATAAAGCACTTTTTTTTCAAACAGTCGCCAATTTGTAAAAAAATTTTTTTTACTCATCGCTCGTTCGGGCGATTGCGACATCATTGTAGATTAATAATCTTTTTATTTTTTGCATTTCCGATGGCTAGGAGGCCTAAATCATGTCAAGACTGAGGTGCTAATTTTTTGAGACCACCCACTTCATCAGCTACCAGTTTTTACAATTTTCAACTTTTTTATTTTTGATGATTTATTATCATATAAATAAATATATATATATATATATATATATATATATATATATATACGAGGTGTGTTCAAAAAGTACCCGGAATTACTAATAATTAAATTTCGCGGGTCTGGAGTGTCTGATTGTCAAAATTTTTTTTTTATTGTGTTGGTATACATGCCCCTAAAGTATGATGAAATTTTCAGCTATATTCACTGTTTACTTTGTCTGTGGTAGTCGCTAAGGTTCGACGTGTTTTTCTGAGCTCGGCGATTTTTACAATGGAAGAATTGAAAAGTCAAAGAATTTGTATTAAATTTTGCGTAAAAAATGAAATAAAGTGTTGCAAAGTGCAAAAATTCACCACATATGGCTCCGTGTGACTTTTTCCTATTCCGAAAGTCGAAGAGACCCATGAAAGGACGGCGGTTTTCCTCGATTGAAGAAAATCGCTGAGAGTGCTCAAGGACATATCAAAAAGTGAATATCAAGGGTGCTTCGAAAATTGGAAAAAACGCTGGCATAAGTGTATTATATCTGGGGGGGACTACTTTGAAGGGGACCACATTAATGTAGACGAATAAATAAATATTTTTTTGAAAAAACGAAAATTACGGGTACTTTTTGAACAGACCTCGTATATATATATATATATATATATATATATATATGTGCGCATCACGAGTGTTACCATATGTATTTACTTTTAACTTAAATGCCATCTTTATAGATTTGATTATTGATGCAGATGCAGATGACGATTATTGATGATTGATTTCTTTATTGATGCAGCAATACCAGGTAAGGAAAATTCTCATTTGAAAACATATTGCTAGCTGTATTTCTGATAAGAGAAAACGGATCAGACTGCCCGAGGCGAGTATTTTCTGACTGAAATCCCATAGCTCTAACCATTAATCCACGGCAAAGCCTTTCTCAAATATATAGATCAAAAATATATTTCCAAGTAAGAATAGCCCTCTTGGGCATCATTGCAGACAGTTAAAAATTCATCACACAGGAAAAGAACAACAATAAGTAAAAATTTACCATAATCGACTATCAATGATCACGACAACATATATAATTTTATATAATTATATATTGACAACTGCTTCTGATAGGTGTTCACAAGCATATAAAAAAATCTACATATTTGCGTAAAAACATCAATGGAAAAATTCCGATGTGTATATAGTCGCAATAGTATTTAAATGTGTAGTTTTGGAGGCTTCCTGTGACCTATTCCTAAAGTGAGGCTATGGACTCCAAATCAGAAGTTCTAAACACGCCTCGGACAACCTGATGTCTAGCAGTATTGAAACGGGTTTCCACTTGAAATTATAGATGATAATATGTTATCAACTAAAAATAGCCCTCACCAGCATTGCTACATTAATAAAAAATCATCAGTATTACAAAAATTGTAATAATAAATCAAATGAAGATAGGACAACTGTTTAGTTCGCCATTTATAACAAAAAATATATAATATAAAAATGTGAGGGTTTTAGTAGATTAAAAATAGTTAGTTCATAGAGAAAGGTTGGCAGACCAATATAGCTTTTGCCTGTAAATTGTTTAGAAATTTGTATCAATATTATACTAAAAGTCAAAAATTTTCTACATGAAACAGATGGTTTTAAAAGATAATAATGATCGGCAATATAATATGAATATATAAAAAACGTTATTGTTCAATTCAATTATATTTTTATAAAAAAGCTTTCATATAACTAAAATTACCAGCAAATTCAGTATCAGAAGAGAATTGTTACCGAAAGTCCATTTAGTCTCTAAAGATCTGCGGATGATTGATGAAACATCAACAATGTTCGAAACTTTCATAAACGTATTACCGTCCACGGGCTCAAATGACATATAACGTTACAAGTTATGAACGACTGGATATTACTTTAATTAAGTTAAGAGATATATTATATAAAGTTTAAAACTTTGCGATATTTTATAATAATTAAATTACATCAGTGCAAAATGGAGTAATTGATTTATGATTAGATAGGTCACAGTAACTGTACTTGTATTGCTAAATAATTGATGACTTCACAATTGACACTTTATTTATTTATTTATTTTTTAAGCAAGCTGTAATCAATAATGATAAAATGTTTTTCGGGTTCTTGTTAAAACCTTATTCATAATAAGTACCTATTGATGCATTTTTCCCACTTTATTATTTCGTCAATCAAGAGAAATAATACAAGAAAAGCAATACATTATTAAAAGGATGGTAACAGAAGAACTAAATAAAGTACAAAATATGATAAATAACAAAAATTAAGAAACTAAAAGAAAAATAAGTAAGAAATAAGAAATGTTAATAGAAAACTGACTTAGTGAAGGGTGTTACCAACTAAATCGTACCTACTAATGTCAAATAATTTCATGATATACATAGTAACTACAAAATGTCAAATTCTCAAATAAAATAAGCTTAAAGTCTATTCAATTTCCAATCAAGCCTAAATTTCAAACGCAAAGTTCAAATTTTTACTGATTTATACCCGTAGTGATTACTAGGATAATAATAAGCAACTCTCAATAATGATTGATAAAAAAAAAA